TTGTGTACAGAATAAAGAATGTTTTATAACAGTGTAATATTTGTAATCTAAGTTTTTAAAATCCTAGCATCCTAAAAAAGAGGGATACTATTTCAATGTTTAGGTAGAAAAATCTTTTATTTTAAAAAATAAGTCAACCAGGCACGGTGGCTCACACCTATAATTCCAGCACTCAGGAGGCTGAAGCAAGAGAATCTTTGCAAGTTCAAGCCTGGGCTACAAAGTCCAATCTGAACTGCATAGTGAAACCCTGTCTCAAAAAAATAAAGTTAAAAAATAAATCATTGGCATTCATACCAAATATAAGTTTGGGGTATTCTGAAATTGATTAGGATATATTGATAATAAAACTGACATTAGGGCTGGGGATTTAGCTCAGCGGCATAAGCACCTGTCTTGCGAGCAAGCGGTCATGAGTTCGATCCCTGGTACTGGTAAAAATGAAAAAGACAAAAAAAAAAAAAAACTAATAAAACTGACATTATTGTATCATATTGTATGAATGCCTTGTGACATTTGGCTGCATCCAGGGTCAATCTAGGGCAGAGTCTAGGATGCGAGATGCTATGCCAGATTCTTGGGTAGGTCCGACATCACTCCTAAGTGATGTACAGTACTCACGAACTCTCAAAAGAACTTATTGTATTTTTGCTAAGACAAAAAGTAGGACTTTGGACCAGGGAGATTTAAATCCTGTAGTTCTGACTTTTACTAACTGATCTCAGGAATTCCATTGGTTCTTTCCACATTGCTGAGCCTGGGAAGTGGTATGGACAGAGGATATTTTGAGTAAGCGTCCATGTCTTGCATTAGTGACCAGCACAGCAAAAATGACGCCTATTGCTCCAATGGTAAATTGGAACTTCTCTAGTAAGAAACTGTCTTGGTTACTTTTCTCTTGCTGCTGAGACAAAATACTCGATGCCTAAAATTAGGGAAGGAAAGGTTTATTTATCTCACAGTTCATGGAAGTTTCAGTCCATACTCAGCTGGCTCCAAGGCAGACTGGTACATGGCAAAGAGCAACAGTGAAAGCATTAAAGGCAAAAAGGGAAAGGCTCAGAGAAGAGACTCTTCCTGTCCCTTATATTGTATCTAGGCTACCCACCCTAGGGTGGCTGTAGCACTCACATCCATAATTGCAGCAATAGAATCAATCACAAATTCTAGAAGCCTGCCCCCATGAGCCTTCGGGGGCACATCCAGACACAGACCATAACAGAAACACAAAGTTGAATGACTTTTTAAATGATTTTTGACAGAAAGACTCTTCAAGAAATCTGAAAATAAACATGCAGACAAAAACAAAGACAGGAGAACATGTTCAAGTTCAATCGCAGAGGATTGGAGACTTTCAAATAGGCCTGGAGGTCTTGATTCCCATCCATGCCTCACCTTTACTGTTTTGCCAAGATGATGCTGTTGGCAGGTGAGATATATACAGGAGCAGGTTCCATAAACTACAGCTCACAAGCCAGTGCTGACTCGTGGCCGCCTTTTGTAAACACGGTTTGTTGGACTGCAGCCCTGCCCGCTTGCCTCTGTATGCCTACCGCCACTTCTACACCACAGAAGCAACAGGGCTCAGCAGTGAGCAGTGGTAACTGTGTGGTCTGCAACACCTGAAATATTGGCTATCTTACGATTTCAGAAAAATTTTGTGGATTCTTATCTATAGCACCTCTGTGATGGAAATTTTTGATTATGCTACAACGTGCCCCCAACTGCCACTGTGATTCCAGACTGTTCTTGGTGATGTGTGCTATTTTGCAAATTACACCAAAGAAGTTGGGATATGGTCACAGTCCTACAGGGTGGACACCCAGACTGGCTGAGGGGTAGACTTGAGCAGGTGTTGGTAAAGGTTAGCCGAATGCGTTGCTTCTGCCTCTCCTGCCTCAGACTTCCAGCCACAGGCTGGCTGGCTCCCACTGCAGTCCTCGACAGAATGGGCATTTGGATCCTTTTGTCTCCAAAACCAGCTCTCAAGGACACAGAGTCAAATGGAGGAAACGTCAAACTCGCAACATTCACCAAATTCAGCTTCTGAAGGCCAACATCCTAGCAAGACTTTAACTTTGTCCATCCTTGGGAGTGGTTCTTAATTTTGTGACTCTTCCCCCTCCACCATGGACAAAACAGAAGACAAAGGTAAAGTTAGATGAATCACAGCTAAACTGTGGGAAGCTCTTGCAGTTTCAGACAGCTGCTATAATAGATGTAAAACACTAAGCTCACAAATTTTTTTAAACAATGCTGGGGATGGAACCAGGGTCTTATGAATGCTACAGAAGTGCTCCACCACTGAGCTGCATCCTGGACCCACAATTCGTGTATAGCATCTAGGTAGGAGAAGTAAATGTTTTTTAGTTTACTCCACCTATGGATTCAGAAGTTCTTAGGGCAACATATCAGAAGGACGGTACATACTGGTAATTTCTGAAGGCAAACACTGGCATGGGAGCTGCAAGGCTCTAGGCTTAAAAGGGAAGTCTTATGCAAGGCACAGGACATCCTGCTGTTGGGACTGCATAACCGATGGGCCTCGCTCTGGTTCTCACTCAGCCATCATTCCACATGGCGGTAACGGCTGTCACTTACTGGGCTCGCATGGTAGATGATTGATCTCTGCATGACTCTGTGCCAGACACTGTTTGCACCTGATACCATATAAATCTCACAATAACCCTGTTCAGTTAGCATTATTCTTCCACTTGACAAAGGTGGAAATTGAGATACTTCCCCAAAAGGTGGCATCTAGCAAGTACCAGACGCAAGGCAGTTTGTCCTGTGCACCGTGTGCCCATATGCCCCACAACCCTGCAGGTGTGACCACCACTACTGCACCCTGTGCACGGCTTCCAAACATTCCCACGTCTGGAAGCCACACACCTGCACAGAAGGCCTCTGCCCATTTCTCTCCTTCAGGATAAGGTGGGTATTAAAAGATAAAGCTACGTCAGTGACCAATAATATTAAAAGGAGCTTAGTTTCGCTAGGCAATCAGGAAATATAAATGAAAACCAAGCCATAATGAGATACCATTACACATACACTAAACATAGTAGCTAAGTTAAAAGCACTAATAACACCAGGCATCAGCAGGAATATGGAGAAACTGGAGTGCTTACATAGTGGAGGAAATATTAATTACATAACTGTCTTGGAAATGGTTTATCTCCATCTACCAAAATTAAATACAGACCTTCCCTGTCCTCCAGATGTTCCATTCCCAACGAATATATCCAACTGACTTTCCTACATGCTCACAATGCTTATAGTAGTGTGGATTGTCCTATCTAAAAACTGGAAAATATTCAAAATACTCATCAACATAAAACAGAAAAATGACAGCATATCTATAAAACAGAGCACCACACAGTAATGGGAATGGATAAACTAGAGTTCACACAATCACGTGGCTAGGTCTCACCAACATAATTTTTTTAAAAAATTTACATAAAGTAGTATATATTGTATAGTTGCATATATATAAAGAACCAAAACAGCCAAACTGCTTTTACTCAGGACAATGGCTATTTGTACACTGTACTGAGTACATGTTATACTTAAAAGGTTTAACATAAAGGCATACAGCACCTTCTGTCCATTCTACCCTATCTCTACTCAATAGCATCCATTGTCAAGGGGAAAGACTGACAAAGCCAGAGGGCCTGTGCCTGCAATACCATGACGGTCAGTCCCTAGGAAGGGTGTTCCTAGGTCTGAATTAGCCTATCCAGCCCCACACGTACTCTGCAGCTCACATCTTTATGTTGTACCATGAAGACAACAGAATGGAAGCCACTGGCTTTAGAGTCACAGCCCCCGGCTCTGCTACTAGTCTTCTGTGAGGCACTGGGCACGTCCCTCAATTTCTCCAAGCTCCCTTCCCTTGCTTCAAACAAAATAATGGCACATCGCCGCCCCATGGTGGGTGCATCCTTGTACCAGGCAGCCCCACCCTGACCTAAAGTAAATTCCCAGCGGAAGTTTTCCCTGGGTTTTGAATTTGCAGTAACAGGTGTGAACATTCTAGCAGCAGTTTGATGATCATGTATGACACTGCAAACAGGACAAAAATAAAGAAATAAATAATGGCACATGCTGTTTGCTGCTTCCCACCACAGCGGGGCACCTGTAGCAATGTGGAAAAGCATAGTGATCCCCAACACTCATCATGTGTGACCCAAAGATGTGTGAGCAGAGGCGTGAGACGCCACTGATGTTCTTGGTGACGCTGTTGTGCTAATCCTGGACCCCTCACCTCTGGACAGCTGGAGGGTGAGAGGTAGCTTGGATGGCATCTCACAAGGGTCTTGAGGGATTTGACTCTTCAATGCTCCCCCACTGGGAGGGAGGGAGGAAAAAGCCTGTTTCAGGGTGCAGGGCAAGACCTAGAGGAGGACAAGTGTTGGTCCAGCTGTATATTGCACAAAATGCCTTCTTCTATCTTTTTTAACAAGTGTATTTTTTTCAGTGTCCACAAGTCCCATGCACCTCACTGTGTGCTGGGGACATAGTGGTGGACAAGACAGGATCTCCACTGGGCAGATCATCTAATGCTAGCCACCTAAAGCCAGAGTGGCTCAATATTAATGTTCAACTTCTCCCAGGAGTCAGATGTGATGCCTAGAAGTGATGCAGCCACTTTGTGACTAGAAGAACAAAAGCGATAGATCAAAGAAGACAGAACAGGGCAGAAGGATCAGAGCAGTAGGGCTCTTGATCCTTAATGGCTCCTTCGAACAGCTGCATCTAACAGGACTGCTCATCTCCAGACTTCTTATCAGGTGAGAAAAATGACCCCTTCCTTGTTTATGGCTTATCTTAAGGAGACAGATGTAATTTTAACTGATAGGTTCACGTGGTGACCAGAAATGTTTGTTTCTTTTTTCCATGTGCCCAGAGACTGGTGGTACAGCTATAAAGACAAAGCAAGCAGGCAGACACTAATAAACAACCAATCACCCAAAATCAGATAAGAACCAAAATTAGCACAATGGTTTACACTACTTTAAATAATAAAAAAATTTAAGTAGCAAAAAGTCCAGAGACAGGGCCACTCTAGCTGGTGGCCAACATTTTCAGACACTCTGCAGTCCTCCCTGCGAAGGCTTCATCCTCATTCTGACCTCCTTCAGGGCCGGGATGACCCCCAGGGAACCAGCACAGGAGCAACCAAGGAAGAATTAAACCCGACTTTCCCTGTTTCATTCCTATTAGGAACATGAAGCGCTTCCCACAAGCCCCCATCTGACCTTCCCTGGCCAGAAGTGCATCTTCCCAAGCCAGTCACTGAAAAAAAAAAAAATAGAGATCACTGAGTGGGCTGAATGTATATTAGAGAGCCAGCCAGGACCAGGACAGAGAGGGAGACCGTCTTTCTGAGGAGACAGTATATGCCCCACGCTAGACAGCAGGAAAAATCAGCACCTGTGGACAGAAGGTAAAGAGGGGGAGCTGGCGGGAGCCCACCCCAACATTCCTCAGAGCTTCAGTTACAAAAGTTTGAGCCAATTTCCCCAACGCGTCTCTGCTCCTAAGATAAATGGCTCCGGCTAAAGAAAGTCCACGTTAAAGGGAAAACTAACCATGTCTATGGAAGTCCCCTGCTGATGGCTTCCTAACCATAAGGAGCAGTGGGAGCTTTCCGTACTCCACATTATAATAATAACATCCTGTGTTTGCAAGACTCTTGGACACATGTGATTTCTTTCTTGTATGAAGAAGATCTATAAATCATGTCAGGTCTAGTTGCTGTTTTAGAAATGGGAGACCAAAACACAAAACAAGGAGGCATTTGCTCCAGACAGCCAAGGAAGGACTGAGAAAGCTCAGCCTGGACCACTGACTACTGATTTGGCCGAGGACAAGCAACGCTTGGGAAACTATTAGTACCTTCCTCCAAGGAAAAAGTGATGGGTATTAGGATAAGTCCCTGATCTAATTGGGGCTTATTATGCAACAGTTTGCCAGCCTGGTAACTTAGGACTTTTGATTTCTCTGGGCGCCGCTGGCTCATCTGTAGGGTGAAGATTTTCAGAGTACCTTTCTGGGAGGACTGGGGGAGCCCCTGAGGATTCTCTGGGCTGCTTCATCTTGGCTGAGGCTGCAGACAGCTTTAGCAAGGCCACTCTGTTCCTTCATCTCCACACTGTACCTGAAGAAGGACTGACCCAAACGAGCTGCACCCCTGCCTGGCCTGGGCCTCTTCCGCGGGCTGTTGAGGCTGAGGCCCAGGCCAGGCGCCACCCAGCTCCCTTTCTCCTTCCCTCCCTTGAGGCAGGCTGCTGCTAATGGCTCTCCCTGCAAGCTGCTTCATTAAAGATTTTTTTCCTGTGGAGTTGCAATCAAAGTAAACAGACAGGCCTGAAAGGCAGGGAACTAAAAACCAATTAAGAGGGAATGGGTGGGGGCAGGAGGAGAAAAGAGGCGGGGGTTTTCCAAAGACTCTGTTCTCATGGCAGCCAGCTTCCAAAATAGTCTGGGAATGAAAAATAATGAAAACCACCATGGAGAGGAAAAAGGTTCTGGCAGGAGAGCCGAGACCTCGGAATCGGCCAAACTGTCCAGCTCCCGGCTCCTGGAAGGTACCTGGTGACCTGGTGACCTGCCCCCTATCCCCTTCCCTTCTGACACTGTTGGTAGCATTCCCAGCTGTGGGACTCTCTGCCTCAGCTCCGAGGTGAAGGAGCCCCCTGCCACCCTGGCCCACAGGTGAGCAGCAGAGTGAGGGTAGGCAAGAGAAGGGAGGAGGGACCTGACTAAAGGGAATGTTCTGGACATCAGGGGACCGTAAGTGGACCCTGAAGACAGCCCCTTACCAGTTGCTAAAGGGACAAAGTGATATTCGAGCCAAGAGTGAAGACAGAGTTGGGACTGACCAGAGATGACCCAAAGGTGGCCTGCTCCAGGAAGAGGCCAGGAATCACAAAGTGCGCAGGAGTGGGCCGTGGGTGAAATCACCCCAGACCACAGCAACTGAGCCCGGCACATTCTGCACTGTGCCTGGTGCTCTTTTATGCCCTGAGTCCTGAGCGACAAGACTAATGACTGTCTAAAACTCAAAGACGAAAGGCAGGAGAGCCAGGAGCCCAGCACCAGCTTATGGGCCCAGCACCCGCCATCTTTTCCCCTGCTTGAAACAAGACCTTCCAGGGTGCCCCAGCTTCCCTCACCCTCGTGCGGGGGGAAGCCAGAGTGACAGTCTCCAGCAGTCGTTCCTGGTGCTGTCTCTGAGGCAGCTCTGCTGCCCACCAGGAGGCAGGGGTAACTATCTCCAGACCCCCTTGTGGTCTGGTTTCTGTTTCACTGGGGAGGCAACAGGAAAGCTGAGATCTTATTAAGTTGACTTGCAGATGCCAAAAAGGAACAGCAGCCAAAATGAGGTTAACCCTTTCCCGCCCCTTCCTCCACCCATCTTCCCACAGACATAAGAGCACTGAACCCTTGATCCCCCAGAGCCAGGGGAACAGCCACACGGTCCAGGGGGAGTGGGGCCTCCCAGATAGGCTGGTGGGTCAGGACCCGTCCTGCACCAGTGTACAGTGCAGGCCAGGAGGCTCACGGGCCAACAGCCCTTGCCAAATGGCCAGGCTCCTAGGTGGGAAGCTGGAGGCTCAAACCAGAGCCAGCTCCTCCAGATGGGAATGAGGCGATGTGAGAGCTGAGGCTCTCAGGGCCCTGCCTTTCAAGAAAGTCCAGCCTGCACTGAGTGGGAGCTCACTGGAAGTGGGATGGTCCTGAGCAGCCAAAAACACAGCCATCACCCCCAAATTAGCAGCCTCTGAAGGTTCTGAGCAGAGCTAAGGATGAATGGGCCCAAGAGACAGCACTGGCCTAGGAATCCAGAAGCAAGTAGTGCGTGTTTGTGTCCTCATTGTGGAGCACAATTAGCTCAGATTTTGTACACAGATTCTACTGGGTATCAGTCCCAGCTCTACCATCTGGGAGCTGTGTAACCTGGGGCAAATTGGTCCTCTCTGAGCCTTGATCTCCTGAGCAGCAAACGGATGTAACAGCACCTATCCCACAGGGTCCACTGGGGTCCTCAGTGGGCACCTCAGAACTCACCAGCCTTCCTCCTTCCTCCAGCCTTAGCCTCTCCTGCTGTCAAACGAGCTGATACCGCTCTGGCTAATGCGTACCAAAGGGCTACAGATGTGCAACAGGCTTCGGACCCGGAGGATACTAGAAGTTATTTCCTCTCCAGACTTTTGTCCTTTTACTCCCCTTACCCTGTCCAGCCTCCTCCTGGGGGCCAAGGAGATGAAAGGACACTTACTAAGCACCTAATCGCAATGAGAATAAGAAATCAGGGCTGATATGGCACTCTCTGTGCCCTTCCCCTTACACAAGCAGGAGATGGGGCTCGGGCACGGGTTCCTCCCCTGCCAGCATGCAGTTTCAGAGCACCTGGCCTTGGCCTCCCATTACCCCTGCTCCACATCACCAGGAGCGTGGCTCCCAGCAACTGTCCAGGGCTGGTGTGAGGAAATCCTGAGACTCCAAAGTAATCAACATGGGAGGGCCATTCTAGGGTCTCCTGAGGATGCTGAACGATGGTCACTTCTCCACCCACAGGAGTCACGGTTTTCTAGGCACTGCATTTGAAAGACACATGAAGCCACCAGGGCAGCCCAGGGGCACCATGTCAAGGCAGGGGCCAGCTCCTTGCACGGCCTCCTTGCCTGTCTTTGCATGATGTTCTCTTTGTGTCCAGCTACCCGCTTTGCCTGCGCTCAGTGTCTGTCCCTACATAACTACGGCCAGCACATGGCCTGCTGTGACATGTGTAACACTTCTCAGCCCTTTCTGCTTCACTTCCCACTGCTCACTGTCTCTTGGCATTCCTGTTTCCCTGCTCAGAACTCATTTGCCCACAAGTCAGTCTCTTTGAGGAAGTTTCTGTAAATTTTCAAAGCTCCCTCCTAAGCTGCTCTTGGCCCTTCCTTGTGGTCTTTCTCTGTGCTTCCGTGACCAAATCTCAGGCTGCCGATGAGGACAGAATGGCAACAGATCCTTGGTCTGCCCACATGACTGGTTGATTGAAGAGTCTCAACTTAGTAAGGAACAAACATGAAGACGGCTCCATTTCTTCCATCTTCTCCTAGCTACACTAAAAGCATCCATACATAAAAGTTTGTCTGTAACCTGATTCAGAGAAAGAGAACTTTCTGATCTCTTTGGGTTTTTAGAGCAGTTCATACCAGTCTTAAGTATTCAGTTTTGTTCTCCTTTCTTCCTCTCCCTCCCCCAACTGAGGCTGGAACTGTGGCCCCGAGACACGAGATGGAAAAGGATCTGTTCTGATGTGTACATGCTCCCCGAACAGCTCTTTCTAGGTCTGCTCATCTTGTGATTTGGGACAGAGGAGAGGGACAGAGGTGCAAATCACCCAACTCCGTCAAGCCCACATCCTCTCTGGGTGCATTGCTGCTGCTAATGATTTGATTCAGCCCAGCAATCTTTTGTGCCCTGGGTGGCAGTCATCAGTAGGCTGCCTGTCTTTGTGGCATGTATGTCTGGAAGAGGGAGTAACAGCCAGTCAGGACTCAAGTGTAAGCACTTTATCCTCAAGAAACTGAGGATTGACTGCAGAATGAAATGTTTGCTCCATGCCCCAAATTCACAAATTGAGATCCTAATCCTTCATGTGCTAGTAGTATGTGGAGTTGGGACTTTGGAGGTGATTAATCTATGAGGATAAGTTCTTCATGCATAGATTAGTACCCTTGTAAAATGAACCCAGAGGGCTCCCTTGGTGTCCCATGTAAAGATCCCCAAAACGACAACCTTCTGTGTACTAGAAAGCTGACCCTCACCAGACACAAAACCTGCTGGAGACTTTATCTTGGATCTCCAGTCTCTGAAACTGTGAGACATAAACTTGTGTTGTTGATAAGCCACCTGGTCTATGGGATTTTGTTATAGTAGCCAGACATGGATAGGATAAGAGCCCTGGCCTTGCCCAAAGCAAACTAAGTCCTGCTGTCCTCTAGCTTGCCAGCAACCCTAAGATTCCTGTTGCTTGCCCAAGGAATAATGAGGCAGACTGGAAACCTCATTCTCCCAGTTTTAAGTGTTTTTGAAATAAATGTAAAAAGCAGTTTGCAATCACCTTAAGAAAAAAAAAACTTTATAAAAACATTTAAATGGAGGCAAGCAATTCTTAATCCAGGAAGCATGTGACTCTTGGCATCCTCCTTTGGCCCCCTTTCCCTGTCCATTGGTGGGGAGGAGTCCCCTCCTCTCCACAAGAGCTTTGCACACCCACAAGACCACAGTCTCTCAGCTCTCCCCAGTCCCTGTGTATTGACCACAGTGTAGAGCTCTCCCCAGAGACCCAAACAACTGCAGGCAGTTTTACCTGTGCCCAGCACAGGTACCTGCCTACAGGGGATGGCACAGGACTCAGAGCGGCCAACCAAGTATGCAGGGCTGGTGTACCTGCCCCGGGAGGCGTACAAGGCACCCTGCAAGCCCGTTAAACTGCTAGGCAGTTCCTGTCTGGACAGAACGTGCCTTCAGGAAGGGCTGTGGATAACTGTGATCCCATAAAACTGTCAGACAAGCTGATCTGGGCAACCCGGGGGCAGGTCAGAGTGAATTATTGTGCTTCACAGCACTTTTGAAGAAAAGCATTTTTACCACTGTCAAATAGATGCAGGGAAGGGCACCAGGAGAAGTCCTTGGGGAAAATGCCTCAGGGGTGGCTAAGAACCAAGTGTGAGCAGATGCACAGCTGCTCATCTGTGGATGGGTGTGCTTCCCCTGTATTTTCTAAATATGGCATTTGAATATCTCTCTTTCTCCCATCTTCTGTCTTTCTCTACAAAGAAAGGGTTGGCTAAGCAAAGGTTCACATCACCCAGCCATGTCCAAATTATTGCCAACCTCTAGGACCATTTCTCCTCAATATTTGTCTTGGCCAGAACGGGTAGCACCCAGTATAACTGCAGGACTCTAGGAGGCGAGGCAGGAGACTTGAGAAGTTGAACCCATCCTGGGCAACTTAGAGAGTTAGCAAGACCCCGTCTCAAAATAAACAGTTCTTTTAAAAGGGATGGGGAGGTTGCTCAGTGCACAGGCCCTGGGTTCACTCCTCAGTACTCAAAAATTTAAAAAAAGAAGAGAAATAAAGATGTTTGCCTGAGTTGACAGCCCAAGTAAAAGCTAGTACTTTCCAGCAGGAGACTAGCCAAGATTTCCACATGGAGACAACATTGATCCCAGCCATAACTTATCTCAAAGTACTTACTTCTAGACTCAGAGGCTCAAAAAGACTTAATACTTAGCTGAGTTGAAATAATCCAGAGAGAAGATGGAAAACTAAACCCATCAGACCACAGCTGAGACAGGATTGAAGGAGTAATGAATTCACTCCAGTAGCTTTTTATCGGGTGACTCTGCACACCTGATTGGGCAGGGGACCCTGGATGAACAGGTTGCAGTGTGAGTCCTCCAGAAAATTCAGATCTCAGAGATTTTGAATTGCATGAGAAGATTCACATACTAACAACTGCAAAGGCAACAGAAGGTTAGCAACAGGCTGGAGACAAACAGCATTTCAGGGTTGTGAAGAGGATGAGACAAATTCTAGCCTGGGAGGCATGAGAGGATGTAGGAAGGAACTGAGAAAGAAAAGGGAGGAAGGAAGGAAGGAAGGAAGGGAGGGAGGGAGGGAGGGGACGGAGGGAAGGGAAGGGGAGGGGAGGGGAGGGAAGAGGAAGGGAGGGGAGGGGAGGGGAGGGGAGGGGAGAGGAGGAAGAGAGAAGAAAAGAAACCTCTAACACACTGAGGGGCTCTAAATAGTCACAACCATGTGCAGGCTTTTTAGAGTATATATCTTTTTTTTTTTTTTTTTTTTTTTTTTTTTTGCGATACCAGAGATTGGACTCATCACCTTATGCTTGCCAGGCAGGTGCTTATGCCACTGAGCTAAATCCCCAGCCCCTAGAGTATATATCTTATGGGTGCCCTGCAAGACACTCACCTCTCACTACCAACCAGCCTTGAGGTTCAGGAAAAGTTAAGGCAGAGCTGTGGCCTGCGCAAACATTGAAAGTGTAGTCCAATATATGCACACAGCTCCTTAGCAAAGAATGAGAAACTTCGGGTTCAAAGTATTTAAGGAACTCTCCGACTAACCACCAAGCCAACAAAAGATGTGCATAGCCATGCACTACAGGGAATGTGGACTTCATATAATTAGCTCTACAAAGCCACCAGACAGACAGCAACAGCCAAGCAGTGACAACAGTTCCATCAGGGAGAGGAGACTGCGATTTCCAGCTCTGTCTCGTTGTGTTATCTGTAACGAGGGGCATCGCAGTCAAAGTGCTGAAACACAGATAAAACCTTGAAGACAACCGAGGGATAA